CGCCGGCCTCCTTCCCGCAGCGGGAAGTCCCCATTGGGGGGTCTCCTTCGCGTGTGCGGTGCTGCCCCGCGCTGCGCTCTGAGTGACCCTCTCAAGCACCACTGAAGTGAGTCACGGTTGTGCTCGTCCTGCCGGAACTGGACTCGCTGAAGGGCAAAACTCAAGATCAACCCAGGCATAGATTTCTCATATCACGAGCGGGGGTGCCCAGGGGTTGTCATTTCTTATCACGCTTTTACATGGTCCTACATATCTGCTCCACTTCTCCATCTTTTCTCCTGCTTTTCCTACTGTTCGCTTGTTTCTTTCCTGACACTGTTGTTGGTAGGAAGTTGCAATTTGGGTTTGTGTTGTTTATTCTTTTTTTGTTCTCTTTCATTCACAATGAACGCCAAGGGACGTTTAAAAGAAAAATCCGGTTCCTGGTTTGTGAGGAGCTTGAAGAACAGCAGGAAGATGGTTGTGTGGAAGGGAAGTGACAGAGGTATGTAGACACCCCCTGTGTTTTGGTTTATTTGCTGCCAGCATCTCAGGAGGAATGGACTTATGGGAGAGCCTGAAGAGCTGAGCCATTGTGGATTGATCATGGGAGGTCATGTCATGATGAATGGATAGAGTGGAGAAACATACAGTTGAAGGGTACATGGTTAAGGAATACTGCTGGAGTGCAGAAGTGGTAGGGACAATACTATGCTTAACAGTAGAGTGTAGACTAGAGGAATGCAGTTAGGTTGAGCTTTGAAGAAGGACAGAGATTCAGATGTGTGGGAACAGTAGGTGAGGAACAAGTGGAGGGCTGTCAAAGAGCTAGCGGTGTGGTCAGGTTTGTGAGAAGAGGTGTTTGGCCACCCACCACTTCTTTGGGTTGCAAAAGAGCATTGCATGTTTGGGATGCAGAGAAGAAAAACTTTGCAGTAGTTGTGGTAGGATATTCCAAAGGGGTCTAACCAGCAGTTTATCAGTGAAAATGGTAACAGATTGGTCTTGAAGCTGATGGGGTAGAAGGAAGGCCTGGGACCTGGTTTGTGACTCTTGGGAAAGGGGAGAGAGGACACTAGCAATGGGAGTATGTTACTGTTGTCAGCAGCAGTGAAAGAGAAAAGGGAAAGTGAGGCTAAGTCAAGGCAACTCTGCATTTTAGCTAGCAAAAACTGATGACAAAATTTCCACGAAGAGATGCCAGACAGCCACTTGAGCACTGGGACTGAACAGAGGCAGAAAGGTTGATGACAGAGGGAGAATATGAGAATCACAAGTACAGAAATACTTTCTAAAGTCCTTGAGAATTGCCAGCCTGAGCCCACAGAGGGAGAAGAGGGTATGTCTGTGAACCCAAGCCTGGCCTTAAGAAAGGAGAGGAGGACGTTCACTCACTGATAGAAATCATACACACGGAAATTATTTTTTAATCATAGTAAGGCACTCCTTTTGATAATAATAGATCTGGGGATCAATGGGAAAGCACCGTAGAGTAGATTTTGAGAGTTATGAATGCTGAGGAAGGCAGGTAATCCAGGAAAGAAGTTAAGGGCCTCTAAATCCTAGTCTAGTGGGTCCTTCTGGTCACATCCACAACTCCAGAGGCTCTTTCCCAGCTCATTAGTTCCTGCCTTCCATGTTACCTTACCCCCCTGAATTCTCTTTAAGAATTTCAGTGTTGGAAACTAAGGTGACTGTGGGGATGAAAGGGATATCATGCAGCTTCTGTTGCTTGGATTTTCCTTCTTGTCTGGGGAACTGAAAGAGAGTGGTACAGAACCTCAGAAGTCATCTGAAAGTATATATTAAAAGCTAAAAAGCTTGTTTAAAGATAGTTTTCCTGGACTCAGGTGAGGAGGCCACGCTTAAGTGACCTGCAAGGTTTCTTTGAAGATACTAAAGCTGTAATTGAAAAAGGAGTGTTAGTAGAGACAAAAGAGTTGGATATTTCAAAAGACATATGAGAGGACCCCAAATCAGAGATTGATGGGCGAACAGGAGCTTGTGAGATCTGGAGCAAGATAGCTACTGAAATGGAAGATCTTTTAGAAATATAAATTGGAACGTGAAGTTTATACATTACTTTGTTGCAGAAGATGAAAGATATCATGTTTGAAGCTTATATTGAAGCTTGAGAGGGAAAGTATTAGAAAATAATATCTTTATTTAACAAGGATTGGGGCACAAAATAACTGCATATTAAGACACAAAGACTTTGCTTTGCATGGTAGACTATAGCATGATTGGCATTTGTTTGATTAGTGATAGCTGATACCACCAGGTAGGTGGTTGCTGGTTTGCATGAAATGAAAGTTTTAAGACAGTCTAGCAGGTACTGTGAGCAAAGTCTTGCTTTAAGCTTGCCATATAATGATATAAAATTCTAGCTTAATTTAAAAAAATAACTTTCTATAATTAGAAATGTTTGGACTATGACAGGCAAAACAAATCAACTAATTTTCCAAGATCTAATTTGCAGACAGAAAACTTCCATGGAAGTTTGGTTAATCCCAAACAATACAGTGGCACTTCTGTCCTTCTAGTCCCACTGAAAAATAACAGTATTATAACTGTATTTTGTTCTGGTTTATGTTTGACACCTTTAAATGTTTAAACATCTGGTTTATGTTCAGCATCTTTAAGGAGGACTTAACGTGAAGGTGGATGTGTAAGTCCAGGAATTATCTAGTTTTTCTGTGATACCACTTGTCATTTTAAGTTAACTTAGTAATTAACCTTACTAAGTTTTGCATGTTAAAAAGAACTAAACCAACTTAATAGTGCTGGGAGCCCTCTGTAGGCACAGAGTTAGTAGGTTATGCAAATAGTTGACAGTCAGTTTGGAAAAGGATTCTGGTATAGCAGCAGGTGGTGTTATCAGAATTTTTTAAAATGTATTAAAAGCTATTAGCCTTGGAAATACATTTTGTTTCCTGAGTTCATTTTAATAACTGGTGAGAGATTTTGATGATCATCTACACTGAGCTGGGGCTGACTAAAACCTGGCATAAGTGGAGAAAATAAGCTGTAGAGTTTAGAAAGGTCTCTCTGAAGGCCTTCCTTGTGGGAGCCTTCTGAGAGGCCAGAGTTGCTCAACTACTACCCAGGAGAGTATATATGCATTTTGAGCAGTCCTTAGTCATTTGGTCTACTTATAACCTTAGCTGTTCTTCTAAATCAACATATTTAGTGGTGACGGTGGAAGAATAACTTCAAGCCATAGATATTATTTAGTTTTTAAACTACTGTGTAGCAGAAAAAGAGAGCGAGTCCCCTTACTAATTTTATCACTCGTGTTAGGTCACCTCACTGTGACCTCTCCTGTGTTCTGATGACACAGGAAGACTGAGTCCTTCTTTCACCTCTGTATCTGGTGTACTGGGTTCACCTTTGCTGCCCTATACTTCAGCATCCCCAGGTAATCATATACAATGAAAGGCAGGTTGTCTTTTAAACGGAAGTCTAAATTATGTCTACAAACTAAAAAATAGCTAGTGTGGGTTCACTGTTGTTAATCCTCCTATTCTCTACTCACTGCTTTAGCTGACAACTGCAGTGATTTCTATCTAACTCCAAAGGAGCTTTTTTCTCAATGTGTGAGATGACTGAGCATATATTCCCTAGCATTCCTAAACTTAGTAACTCATATATTTGAAGTGAAATTTTAATTTTTTAAAAATTGGTTTTATTTTTCATGAAGACATTTTACCACTTACAGAAGATGCTGGATTGACAGAACTGCATAGGCACAAAGTTGCACGTAAGGAGCTGTATGCTTTGGTGCTTTATTAGTGTATCAAGAGTACCTGATTCTAAACACCTCTTTAGCCTCTTCCTTCATAAATATTCCTGGTGAGGATACCAGCAATAGTGACAGCTAACGAAGCTCTCACTCTTAAAATTTAAGCCTAGCTCTGAGTTCATCAGTCACTTTATCTTCAGAGAAAAATGTGTACCAATTGTAACAATTTGAAGAGGGGAAAAAGGATGTTGAGAGAACCTGTGACTTTGTGCACAACTATGAATGCAACTGGAGAGCACATTCAAAATGCTTTTAAAGCTAGAGGAAGCTGAGAGGGAGAGAGTTATTTGTAAGAATTATAAACTCAAAACAAAAGACAACCAGGGCTGGAACACCAGTTGTGCAATATATGAATGCTATAATTCAGCCTG